GGGTTTGGGGGGGTGTATGGGGGTATTGGGGGCTGCTATGGGGGTGTTGGTGGTGTTATTAGGGGTTCTGGACCCCTTTTTTTTGTGGGGTGCCGACGACCCCTCACCGGTAGGTGCCGACCAGCCGATCGGTCGGCGGGTCGGCAACCGACCAGTCAAGGGCCACCGACCGTTGGGGGGTGCAACCCTGCTCTTTTTAGTTTATCGCAAGCCGAACAGAACTCTCTTGATATGCGCTTTTCTGGTACATCTGAGAGGATGGATCATTGCTGTCCCATGGTGCAATAGAACAGTGATGATTGCCAATTCATGTGATGATGTTATCAGTCGAATCACATTGACTGACAATTATTGCCGTTCTATTGCACCTTGGGACGGCAATGGTCCGTCCCACTCTGATGCCCCAGGAAAGACCGTTGCCTCTGGTCTTCCTATTGTAGATCGGAGTGGGATAATTGCTGTCCCATGAGTGGTCCTTTTTTGGTGATTTGATTGATTTGTGTTCAACAGAGTTGTGTGACGAATGCCGAGTTAAGGTAGTCATGGTCTCTTTAGAGGCTGTCACATATGCATAATTGTGATCCACACTGTGTTAGTCCCCGGGCGGCCCAGCTGGGGGAAGGTCGCCCGGGTACCCTCCCGGGCGATCCCAGCGCATAATATTTTAAAAAATAGAAAATTAAAAAATTAAAAAAATCCGAAAATAAAATGTTGTGTAAAATTGCAATACAAATGACTTTTGGCTGAGGGCCACCCCGAAATTCCTTGTTAATTTCAAAATAAAAATAAATGAGAAAACATGACTCCAAATGTACCCTTTTAATACCCTTTTAAGCCCTTTAGTCACTGTTTATACCCCCCAACCCCCCCTGGATGACCCATCACCAAAACCGAAGTTAAGACCGGATTCTGACTGTTTAGGCCAAGCACAGTCCTGGCCTAAAGTCTTTTTTTTTTTTTTTTTAAATCCTTGCCTCTTTTTTCACCCGTCTGGTTTTGGTGGGCTACCCCCCCCCTGCCCAACTGGCCCGGGCTTGCTGGGCCGGGCGACGCCCCAACATAGGATCCACATGCTTGCCAATTAAGGGCAACTTATAACAGCTAGAGAAATCATATTTGTAGAGAGCATGGGACATCAACCCCCCACTCTAAAGCTGGTTCACCCATTTGCGGCAGATGCACATACACGCACAGAGTCCACTTCCTGATTAGTTGGTGAAAATCCGACGAAACAGTCCGGCACAATCATGCTTTTTTGGTGGAGAGCGATGAAACAGTCTGACACTGAGACACGGACACACACACATTAAGCGAACAGACAAAATATAAGCTGAAGCTCTGAGGTAAAATGAACAGGAGTATACCTCCCCCGTTACTCTGCCTCCTTTCATGGTGTGCAAGTGGGCCGTTATGGCACATGGGGATGCGGGCAGCTCGTGCTCGACCACAATCGATGTGGCGAGCCCTGTATGTGAGAGGCACAGTAAAAGGGAGCTGCAAGAACAAATAAAAGGGGCACCCCGAAGAAAGCCAAGGTAAAGATAGTCAAGAAAGGGATATAACGGAACTATCGGGCTTCATGTTGCTTGCTATAATAGAGGTAAAATTGTTTCATTGTTGGACTGGCTCATCTCAAGTGTGCTTCATTGTCTGCAATAGAGGTAAAGCTTTCGGTTTTGGATCTATTCATCTCGGTGGAACAGGGCCTGTTGTGGTGACCTTCTACAACACACACACACACACACACACACACACACACACACACACACACACAAGCTGCGCTACATCCCTGCTTGAATTTTGTTTGTTTGATGAAGGAATGTCTGTGGGTGGCCACACGTATTTTGGGGAATGGGAACGTATGTTAGGAGTTTTGGCCATGGTATCTTCACAAGAAGGCTCAGAGAGTGTCTGCTGTGGGTGTCATTCCCACAGGCTGCTCTTTTGGAGCACATGGAAGAAATGGGGGCTTCTAGGTTGTTTTATAACCAGTAGCACTCCCGGCGTCGTGCGGAGATCTTGTGGAGTTTGGGATTATGGCACTCTCTACACTCCAGGGGTTAAGCAGAAAACTAAAGAAGTGAAAAGGGGGGTTGCCTAGCCATGGAGTGATAGCGATGATGGTGACGTGAGTGGGTGGGTCATTTGGGATGAATAGCAGGTGTCAGTGCTGTTGTACTTGTGCAATTAATCTTGTGGCTTTGTGGAGCAACTCAGAGGGCTCTCCAAGTTTTTTCCTACCATTGGTGGATGTGGTCAGTGCTTTCTTGTTAGTGGAGCCTTCTGTATGTTTCCTTTTGCACTCCATCCTTTTATGGACTATAATATGAGTCAGTGAAACTCCTATTCGAAATAGTTTGTCACAGTCCCTCATTTGTTGTCCTCTTCTCCCTCGCTGCCTACGGTGTAGTACGGTCTACCGGGCAGTTCTGTTTGAACTTTGACGATATATAATTTTGTGCGAGTGTGCTGCTTTGATGGCAGACGGGTGTGTGGGCACTTGGCGCTTAACCAGACAAACATGGCCAACCCTGCATCTTCTACTATGTTGCCTATCTATACCTTTTTTGCTTTATGGATGGTTTGTGATGACTTGTGGATGGAATGAGAGAGAGAGTTTTTTTGGTTTTTGAAGAACACACACACACACACACACACACACAGACACACTGCAATGAGCCCAGACGTGATGATACTCGTCAACATTACCAGTCCCTATGATTATCGATCTGCTGATGAAATGACAAACAATCGTAATATGT